CGTTTGCTCACTTTGTAATTTTCATCTCCTTTCAAAATCCACGATCGACTCTCTGGGGATCGATTCTGTATCTTGAAATGAGGTGAAAATTATAAAAGTGAGCGAATTTACTAAAATACTTACTAGAATAATTATTTCATTGGTCGACAGTAAATTTGCTTTTTGTAATTTTCACCTTGAAAGTATAGAATCGACCGCCTAAATACGGGCCAATGTTTCCGAACGCAGCCCACACAGGAGTATTAAGTCGGAAGCACAATAAAAAGAGCACAGGCAATTGAAATAGGGAATAAGAGATTTCAATCTATCAGAAAGCATCTATTCTAGTATACATGATTTCTAATAGATTGAAATTCGTTATTTCCTTTTCCTATTGCCTGTGTACTTTTCATTGTGTTTCCGGCTTTACATATACATATGATCTACTGATTAGCTGAACGCAACCATTTTACTACTTTACGTTTTTGTATGTGTCAATATGTGCCGTGAACAGAGAAAGATATGGAGTGACATAAACTCTTTATTGTCACAGAAAATGTTGTGTATATAGTTCCTTAATTACCTGTTAAATACATAGAAAGTTATTAATTAATTTAATAGGTATACTAAGTGCTTAGTGTAAAAGGATCTTGTGTCATTCAATGGAAGACATCCTTAAAAAAAGTAGCTAAATATAAATCGTTACAGTTGAAAAAAATAATTAAAGAAAATTGTAATTCATCTATTTTTTGCATATTGATATGTTGCAGATAACTGGATAACTTTAGGCCTTACATTAGATTCTGAAGATAATATTGATTGTCAAAGATACCACAGTTATTCACAGTTCTCTAATAGATTGTTTGTTAAATCATTAATTAATTTCGTTTTCAATTGTATATTTTAAAAATCAGTGAAAGTAAACATGCATGCGACACGCGCCGACACTTCTGAAAGGCGATTCGAAATACAGTGCAAACTGGAGTCTGAAATCGCTGCTCTAGAAGCATTGAAGGAGGCAGAGGAACGCAGCCGACGATTGACAAATGGAGTAGTAGGAATACTTTCTTCCTTAGAAGATCGTTTAGCTACGCTCCGCCGTACAATACTTCCAGTTTATAATGAGACTGAAAATCTTCAAGCACAACAACACAGTAAGCATTTGATTCATTATTATCATTTCTCAAATTCCATTCTTCCTCATTCTTCCTAAAAAATTTTTGTAACATTCTTTCTCACTCTTGTATTACAGATATAGAAAAAACTTTAAGTGTGCTGGATCATGCTATTGGATATTACGGTGTATGTCAAGAAGTAGAAGCTGTAGTACGTGCCGAACCAAGTGGACCTGGTGGTTTAGATGGCTTTCTCGAAGCCATGAATCGACTGTACAATGCTCAGCGGTATTTCCAGAAAAATAATCCTAGCTCCGTCGAGTTACAAAACATCACAGGTCTCTTCTCAATTGGCCTAGAATCTCTATATGCTGAGTTTCATGACATTCTTAATCGCCAAAGTCGACCAATCCTTCCTATTGTGCTTCTGGATCTAATTGGCTCCGATGAGGATACTAATGGCGAGGATGCGCCACAGTCCTTGTGCCAATTGCCCGAGAGCGTTATGAGCGACTTGCTTAAGATCGCTGGATGGCTCGAGGAAAGAGGTCACCGTAGACATACGAAGATGTATGCTTCCGTACGTTCGGCCATCGTCTTGAGATCTCTGTTACTGCTCAAAGAACATCAAAGAAGCGCCAGTGGTGGTAGCACCCATGGTGGAAGCCCTATGCCTGTAAATAAATATATATATGTGTGTAAAAATATATAATGCTTTTTAGATATTATTAATATGAATGTATTCCATCCACAGCGAGCAAAATTTGCTAATCGACACTCTCTAGATGGTCAAGAGAATGCAGGACGTAAAGCGTCACGACGGCTGCAGCACGCATTGGACAAGGCCAACAGAATGTTGTTGAAAGCGTCGCAAACGACGAGGTTGAATCTGGCCCTGAATTCAGTGTCTAGAAAACCGACGCAGCTTATCCCATACTCGATGGAGGATGCGGCACCCGACGAACAAGAGATGGAGAATTATCTTCTGTTAGCGGCCGGCCTACACAAACTCATACAAGCTGAGCGTGCATTGGTCGCGAAGATTCTTTCAGCTTCCTTGCATGCACAAGTGCTCGAAGCCACCGTACGCGACGCAATGGATTTAGTTGCACATGATGGAGACAGCATAGCTACACGCGCCAAACGTTGTATCACGAGACGTGATTTCTCTGCCGTTCTTGTGGTTTTCCCGATTTTGAAGCACCTCGGCGAACTAAAGCCCGATTTTGAGAGAACGGTCGAAGGTTGCGATTATGCCCTCCGTTCTAAGTTTGCATCTGTGCTCGATACGTTACATTCAACCGTACGTTTCATCTTTTTCTTACATTTAAATGACTGTATGATCTAAATTTTTATTTTAAAGAAATTTAAAATCTTAAATATTAAATTAATATTTATAATTAAAATGTTTTATAAATTAATTAATAAGATCATAAAGGGTTTCTGAAATTATGCCATTTCTCACTAATATTCAATACTCTTGGAGATATATTGATAATGTGTCTTATCAGCAAATATATCTTATCTAATATTTTAAAGAATAAAAATGTAAGTAACATGATTCAGTATCGTTCGATTGATATAAACAGTAGTTAAGAAATGCTACTAATATAGATATAATAGCGACATATGATTAAAGAATTATTATAAATAAAAACCGATGAAATTTTACAATTATGTTTAATATAAATTTCTGAAGATCAGTAATCTCTCAATGTTTTTGAAAATTACAAACCACTAGGCTACATTTCTATTTTTTTTTAATATTTTTATATTTACTAGCTTTCTTTAAAAAAAAAAATCATTAAATTGCTTCAAAAATCGTTTTCTAAATTAAAATCCTTTCTCAAGGGAAAATAAATTTGTACGACCAAATTGAAATGAAAGATCCTTGTTATTTTTATATAGATTCTAGCCTTTTGTGTAGTAATAAAATTTAATTAAAATGAAGAATTATTATTAGAGGATAAAAATGTTCCACAGATATATCTAAACTTACAGATTTAAAATATTGCTGGATACAGATCTGAAAATATTTTTATGAAAATGATTATATTAAAATGATTATATTAAATATATTTATCAAAATGATTATATTAAAAATTAAAAAATAAGCAATGCAAAATTTTAATTTCAATATAAGTTTCTAACACAATTACTTTGATGGTTCAACAAAGTTATTTTTAGATTTGTATCCAGTAAAATTTTATATCTCACCAAAATCATTTCTTCTTGAGAGGTAGAAAATTAATTTACAATATAAAACTCAACATTTAAACGATGTCCATTTATTCCTTTTTTTGAAATACAAATTCCTCCAATTTAATTATACAAACCTCACTCTCGCTTCCTGTTAAAAAGATGTATAACCGATATAATGAAAGAAACTATTCAATTTTGTAGGGAGCTAAAGCTTTGGAAGAGTTCGCGGAAAGTGTGAGAAATGAATCTGGTGCGGGTTTGCCAAAGGATGGTACCGTGGCGGAAGGAACTAGCAATGTCTTGATTTTTCTGGAACAGCTAGTCGAATATGCGGATATGGCTGGTGCTGTTCTTCAACGCAATCTTTTCACAGATCAGTCTACGTTACACTCGAAAGAGCCGGAAAATGTACATAAAATGATTCTCAGTGTATACATCAGTAAGTCCATGCTCATATTATTTATTTTTTGTAATTAAATATAAACCAGCTGAAATGAAAATATCGTTAATTTGATGAAAATTGTTTTGTCCTCTTATAGAAAAAGTTCTTGCTCAACTGAATCTGGCGTTAGTAAGTAAAAGCGATGCGTCTTATTCCGATCTCGCTTTGCGAGCTTTATTTCGGCTGAATAATCATAATTACGTAGTTAACGCTCTCCGTCGAAGTTCTCTTATGGAGCTACTCTTACTGGCCGAGCCAAGTGCAGAACAAACATATTACGATCTACTTCTTAAAGACAAAAACAATTATGTTACTACGACATTCACCAAGGCCCGATCATATCTCGCAGACGAACCAGGTACCTTAATTTCAATCAGGTTAAATAAGATTGTCTCAAGTCACAGAAATAAATAGAAACATATGTGTCTACTTTCTGAAACAATGATGAATGTGTTCAACACTTGGTGAATTTAGACTTATTATTAATTGCAATAATTTCCGCACGCGTTTTTCCTTCGCATAGATCTCGCCGCCAAAATATTAAAGGAGAAGTTCTTGGGTTTCGCACGAGAACTCGAGGAAGTGACCAAGTGTCAGCGTTCTTACTCAGTGCCTGACAGATGTTTGCGCGAAGAATTAAGGAAGGAATTGCACGAGGCGATTGTACCGCTGTACACCGCGTTCTACAACAAGTATCGCGGCACATCGTTCTCGAAGAATCCGGCGAAATACATAAAGTACACGCCCGATCAAATATCGACGCTAATCAATACGTTTTTCGACACCGCCGCATAATAACATACATGCGTATCGCACCACAAAATGTTTCGACAAAGAATTAGTAGAGTATTTAATAAACACCCATTTAATAAAGCATATTTAATTACAATAGTTTTAGTGATTCTTTTCCGTGCGGACCGAATCTTTATTTCTTTCTCAAACAGATTGCACAGAGATTAATATAGTTCTGCGACAATTGAGAATCTAGTTAGGTCTTGGTCCAGCTTACCCCCTCCCCCGCATTTTGTTTTATATATATTTATAATATATATATAAAAAACAAGTAACGATTTAGATTCGATCAGCGACT